CCACATTATTGTCTTTCAAATTAAAAAAAACAAATAAGGATCTGGCAACAATGATTCAATTAGGCTGCAGCAGAGAGAGAGACCGAAAGCAGAGCCATACTATCTGCCCAGCTGAGAAACCAGCTATATTTGGCTGTTCCTCTCCCTGAACTGTTTCCATTCCAGTTGGTTATTATAAGAACTACTATTTTAAGTGCTAGTGCCTGAGTTTGCTCTCCTCATCTCTCTCATCCCCTTTTTCTCTTGTACCTTGCTTTTTAGATTGCAACCCTGCCACCAAGGACCATCATGCTAATCATATGTAAGCCACTCTTTCATTCGGGTCAAACATGCTATACATAAACAAACAACAGAGTAGAAATCAAGATCTGATTCAGAGCTTACTTGTGCCGACTTCTCATTCCTACATTTACAAGCAATATTTAATTCCTGATATGAAAATCTTCATACTAATTATCACATCAACTTATTATAAGCATAAGTGCAAACAGATATTCCTTTTAAACACCTTGAGGTGTTTTCATACCTCAGTATTGGTGTTAAAGGTTGGATTTGATAACAATTTGTCATATCAAGATAGAAGCATGAAATACACAATTCAAAAAACAAGCTGTACACTTGTGTGTGGGCACACATACACACATTTTGTGCATGGAACAGATTTGGAAATTAAGAAGACAATTGCAAAATGGCACCACCTACTGGTGTTTTGGTTCTACACATCAGAGTGTGCTGGTATTTATTTGGGTAGTTAATATGCTTCTAGAATATTAAAAGATCCATTGCACATAAACATACATTGCTGCAGTAGTCACCATTGTCTTGGTGTTTCTTTCAGGATCAGGTTTTGGTTAGATTCACTGTTTTTTCAGTGAGGCAAATGCACATGAGTTGAAAGCAGGATTGGCCAATACATGTTTGCAGCCTGAAAGGAAGGAAAAGATGGTGCCCCTTCTCATTCCATATACAAAAGCCAAGTGGGCTGGCCATTGGATCTTTCTTCAGGAAATTGTCTTAAATGATTTGTGCAGCAGGAGTTTTTAATGGCAGATTTGTTTTCACTATAAGTTGTTTTTCTTTCCTTCCACTATCCTTTTGAAGGCAAAATGTGTGTGGAGGGTAAATATTTGAGCAGAGATCATATTGGAGATATGGGGGGTCAAAGCAGGTACGTATAAGGCTCCCATGCACAGTCAGAAAGGAGCTCTTCATTGATCCTGAACACAATGAATAATCAAGGAAACAAAAAGGAACAAAGAAGTAACAAGCAGTGTGTAAAAGAGAAGTCATGTTTCTTTTAGAACTCACTTCTAAAAGAGAACTCACTTTTACCTTTCATGGACATATATGCAACTAATTAGCACATTTTCTTCTTCCATGTGGAGACTGCTCAGTGTCATTTTTCTGGAGAGAACATGTGCCTTCAAGTGAATCCCTGCCTAGAATCTCTCTACACAGGTCAACACATCACCCCTCCCAAAGTTATTAGTCAAGTTCTTCAGTAAGGTTGAGAATAGGACAGTAGGAAACTAACTTTTGTGATCTCCAGACTCTCTTTGTCAGAGAGGAAAAGAACAAATTCTCTTTCAGAGAGGGCCAATTTGGTCAACCCAAACAATTCTCTTTTCTCTCTGGATAATTCCAAAGACATCTCATGCAATACAAACTATGGCCCCAGTCCAGCAGGGCTGGCCCTACCATTAATCAAGAGTGAGTTAGCTACCCTAGGCAGAAGAATTTTTGAAGTCATGAAACAACAATGAACAGTTGTTAATTTATTATTTTTTAGCTTATATTGCCACAGAACGAGGAAAATGCTTGTGAAATTTTATACCTCAGGTGCCAAAATAACACAACTATTCCTGGGCGCTGTGCACTTTGACTGAGATGTCTATCTGCTGCTCTGCCTCAAGCACCATATTGACTTGGGCCTTCTACAGAGTATAATAGACCTGGCTTGATCATGCATTATATTGATGGGTCCATCTGCTGTAGAATAGGGCATGCTAACATGCATAGCATGAAAGGATTAAGATAAAAGACTAGAGTCCAATTGTACAACACCCAGAATATGCTTCAAAGCCTGACTGGATTGAGTTTGAATCCATAACTGCTATTGCATTAACCATCCTATCCTGCAACAGACGGTTGTTATGTAGCTTGAGATCAGCTATGCTATTTCTGATCTATCTCCCAAACATCAAATCTTTATATCTAATTTTTAAAAACTGGATATTATATTGTTAATTTGTGCCATCATGTCCGACTTATGGTGACACTATGGATGAAAGATACTATGAATGTCTGTCCATGACACCTCCAATCAGCTCTTTCAAGTTCAAGGCTCTAGCTTTGTTTACGGATTCAAACCAATCACAGTTGGTCTTCCCTTTCATCTTCTGCCTCTGACTTTCCCTAACATGGTTATCTTCTCATGTTAGGGAAAGGCATGTCATGAGCAGACCCAGCTGGAGCCGAGGGTCAGACTAGATGACCCAGGAGACCCCTTCTGACTCGCTCTGTTTCTATGTTCTATGTTTCTCTAGGGAGTCTTGCTTTCTCATGATGTGTCTGAAGTATGACAGCCTTAGTTTTGTCATTTTTGCTTCTAAGGAAATCTCTGACTCGATTTAATCTAGGATCCATTTGCTTGTCTTTCTGTTGGTCCAGGGTATTTGCAAAGCTTTCCTCCAGCACCATGTTTTGAACACATTGATTTACTTCCTAGCAGCTTTCTTCAGTATCCAGTTTTCACACCAATACATTGTGCTTGGGAACACAATCATTTGGATGATCTTGACCTTGGTCTCCAGTAAAACATCCTTACACTTGATGATCTTTTCTAGTTCCTTCATTGCTGCCCTTCCAAGTCTCAGTCTTCTTGGCATTTCTTGGCTGCAATCTTCCTTTGAAGTGATGACTGAGTGGAGGTATGTGAAAGCTTTCACAATTTTGATTTCCTTATTATTAACAAGTCCGGTGGACATTATTTTTGAACATTCAGCTGCAGTCCTTCTTTCTTCTTTCACTTTATCAGGAATCATTTCAAGTCATTGCTGCTTTCTGCCACTAGTGTGGTGTCATCTGCATAGCTTCATCTGCACATCTTAAATTAGTGAATATATTTTAAAGATGTATCTCTGAATTGTTATTCTGAGGATCTTCCATACCAGCCAGCAGTGTACTTGTTCCTTTGAGGACAATCACATTAGTCTTTTGAGCGAGTCTGTAAATTGAAGATCATTTGCTTTGCATGCCTAATGCAAGGTAGCCCTGTATGGCTCCTGATTTTACTATATCTGATTCTGTACAAGAATATTGCAAAAACCAAGGGTGACACACAGGTCCTTTATTATGACTAAGGGACAGATAGGGAGACTGACTGAAGTAATTCCAAGTATTTATTAATTATAGGAAATTATTAAAACATCATCCCTTTAATTCCATTTATATAATATGGAATATTAACCTACAAAGGAATGCCAGTAAACTATTATAATTTAAAAAGACAGGTAATGCAACATTTCAAACCATAAAGAAACAGAGTTTACCAGGTGTTTGAATCACACTTAAGCAGAGTTTCCTGGAAGCAGGTTTAAATACTGAAGGCAAGCAGGACAAGTTTCTCTGTTGAATTTTTCTTTTCGTACAATATTCAGAAATACAGATGGGTTCCTGAGAAACTTGGACATATTCTCATACATTTGGAAAATTAGTACAAAGCTGATATTAGAAAAAGTAATGGTAAATAAAAGAAGATCGGGTGCCTTGAAATATGTAATGTAAATGTTTTAAAGTTAATGATTTTCACATATTACGCCCACAGAGAATTAAAATATCCATGTTCCATCCTGTTAGCAAAATGTGTAGCTGATGGCCTAAAATGACTTCAGTGTAAGGCATTCTCCTTAATAAAGCTTAACAGTAAGTGTCTTATTGTTGTCTTCCATAAAAGCCTCAAGAACAAATTTCTCCTATAGTTGTCCCTAGCTATAAAATTGCTTAGATAAGCAACTACAAAGTGCACGTTTCTCAAATACAAAAACACCATGTTATTTCCCTATCTCTCCTAAAGAGGGCAGTAGTCCACATAAAAAAGGAAACTGTATGGAAATGTAAGCAGCATATCCTGTATCCAGTTTTTTAAAACCCTGTCAGGATAAAAGTAAAATCTTTATTTAAAAAGAAAGCTATATTTGCAGTCATTGCCAATAAAATGGAGAAATGGAAAAGTTTATTCTTTTACTTTTTATGTGGCTTCAGTTAAATTTTACATAAACTTTGTATGCCTATTGTGTATTAATTAAAAAGCTTTCAGGAAACAGCATTTAATAATTAGAACTACACAGACTTTAGATTTGAAAAATTCTTTAACATGTATTTATATTTCAAACCATCCCGCTATGTTTTAATCCATTATAAATGATATATAAAACTATCTGTAAAGGAAGGGTCGTCAAGGTAAAAATTTCCAAAAAAGGCACTGGTATGAAGAAACACACAGCTCAAATCAGGATTCATCTTGCAGCTTACTGATGTGTTAATTGCAAATATCCTGAAGACACCAGTTACACATCTCAGTTACCAGACAGATCATTGGATCTTATCTCAGGCGATTGCCTAACAATGGGGAACAATTTGGAAAGACATGATAAAGTGGTCACAGCTGTTTGCTGGAATTTAGAATTAACATTAACGTCTCAGTACTTCCTAAGGTATCTCATAGGAAAACAATCCAATGATATCAATGTGTTTCAGCATATGATCTTGAATCCTTGCCTTTATGCTGTCTTCCAAAGATAAACTAGATTCCCAGAATGGGGAAAAATAGATTTTGATATGTACTTACATAATGTTCTGTGTAAAAAAAATGCCTTTCAGGAAGCAGTTTTTCATAAACCATTAGGTAGGCATCAACATTTGATTTCAGAAATCCCATCACGGCTAAGGATCTTCAGCACATTTTGCCAGAGCTGGGGCAATTCTTCTAGTTTCTACTCTCATTTCCTGTCAGCAAACTTCACCCTGATGGAATCTGCAGGAGTCAATAGTCCATGGGTTTTGGCATGAACTGTTTTAGTTTTCGGAGAAATTTTTATTTCAAATCTTTGAAGAAGCTGGGGAGAACAAGTGGGAGAATACCAGAATCAATAAAAAGTGTGTGAGAGAAAGGTAACTGTAATACTAACAGTATTTTACATTTTGTAAAATCCAGTAAACATGCTAGAACAGGGTAGGCAAACTATTCAGCCTGTGGGCACATTGAGATATTTCATAAACTGCATAACTATAACCTGGCTGCCATGGTGTTGGGAATGAGGGGGGCAGTCGTTCTTGCTGTATTTTCCCACGTCATGCCAACCTAGACTTGTCAGATGAGGTGGGGCTGGGAAACTGGGGCCCCAGACATTGAGATGATAGATATGGAAGAGCTTCTCTCAAGGCTATGCTCCACAGGTGCTCAGGTGGACTCTGAGAATAGCCAGGATTTGCAGCTGTTGGATGAGAGTTGGGAAAGCATTTCCAGGAACTAAACAAGGCTGCTACGCTTCTTGACCCCATGACATGGCATTGGTAAAGAAGAGCTAGCCAACTAGCGGGTTGGTCTATAGAAAATTGGCTAGACCACTTCCAAGGGACTCTTCCTAGAGGAAAGGATCCCAGATGTAGGGTTCTCCAACTGGGTTCAATGAACTGTTCTGTGCATGTTCAGAGACTCATCCTTGTTGGTTGTACTTACTGGAAGTGCATTGGAGAATTCAGAGCTTTTTTCCCCCAAAGAACAGTCTATTATTTTGGTAGAGCAAAGGGGGACAACTAGCTCACAACACATGGGTAGACACAGTTGGTCACTAAGAACAAGTAACCTGCACAGAGGTACTTATGGGAAACTGAGATAGTGGAAGCCAGAGGCTAACTTTGAAAATCTATCTTCATAATGTCTTTTGGTCTTTTAAAGACATAAGCCATCAGTCATTATCCATGTTGTGACAGTAAATTCCATAATTCAATAGGCTTTTATGTAACTGTACTTTCATTTGTGCTGTGCACAACTGGGCAGCATACAAATGTTTTAAATAAATAAATAAATAAATAAATAAATAAATAAATAATTTGTCCACTCTGGACCTACTGTTGATCAATTTGATTCTCTTACTACAAGTTCTAATACTGAAGAGGTGAGAGAGGTCAAGGGAGATTTTTTTCAAGCAATTCCAGCATAGCAATGTAGGATTCCATAAGCACTTCCATCTAAGGAAGTGGAAGAGAGACAGGGAGAGCTTCTATCAAAAGTTTGGCTAGGCTTGGTAGAGCTAAGCAGATATACTTTGAAGAACCTCATTTTCACTGATCCATGTGTTGGCTGCACACGGTTGTTTTTGCAAAGTCCAAAGTCAGACCAAGGTTGCAATCCTCAGCATGCTTACCTTAGAGTGAAGCCCACTGAACTTAAATAGGACTTGATTTGAAGTCGGAACATTAAGGATCCCTCTGCAAGCAATACCACTTTTCATGTACCTAAATTTGCATATACCTAACATTGCCCTTATGTTTTCTGTGGATTTCCTGAAAGTTCTTAGGAAAAGAATGAAAAATGTAGCTATTGTCATATGGAGATTCCTCACTCCTTTTATAATTCAATGTGAAGACTGTATTTAGCAGTATATAATTCCACAATTCAGTATATTCATCTCTTGCATTTATAACTCTGGGTGTGTGATTATTGACTTCCATTTTCACTCAAATAAAAACATTTTCAGATTTGGGCATTTTGCTACATTGCTTTAAATGGGAATGGTCACTAAACTCTTCCCCATGTTAAATCTTTCCCACACAGCTACAAAACTAATACTGTGTTTTCAGGATATTCATTGGATTCATTACGATTTGTTTCTCAGGTTTGGGCAAGGAAATGCACAGTGACACTTGAGGCCTGTATCTAATGGCGCCTGCCCTAGAACAGCAAGCCAGCCAGCTCTCCTCTGCAAGTGCCACCTGCCACTCGAAGAACACAGGTTTAGCACTTTCAGGGGCAACCCAAAATGAGCTAAAACACTCGTTTCTGGAATAGCACAGGCTGGCAGAGCTCTCATAAGGGCATTTTTCCAACTACCCTGTTCCAAACACCGGCATTTTTACTCACTTCACAACTTGCCCCCAGAAATGCTACATCTCTGTTGTGCAAGTAGGAAAACAGCAGAGACCAGGGTTGGCTATGCGGGGACAAGAAGCCCTTGTTATTTTTTTCCCCTAGGGTGCAGATGAAAGGAGAAGTCCTTGGGAATAGAAACAGGACTGATTAGGCTGTGTCAGGAGATCCATTCTGACTGGTGCCAGTGTAGCAGTAATTCTTTTCTTGGATAAAGAACCCTTATTTTAAAAAGGGTGCCTCAAGGAGGAGAAATAATCACCCTTCCCAATCCATAACAATTCCAAAGAACTTACAGCAACATGTGAACAGACCCACTTGGAAAAAAAGCTGTTGTTGATTCAGGGAATTCTCTTAAAATAATACTCTGTACCAGGGCTTTTTTTTGTCATAGAATGCACCGGAACAGCGTTCCGACACCTTTTTTTTCCAATGGATTTTATGAAGTGATTTTGAATCATAGCAGATCAGCAGCAAATATCATTAACGTCGTGCCTGCAGGCTGCTTGTGTGTCTGCTATCTGATAGTGAGATAGTGAAGGTGGGACGCTGCTCCGCTGCTCGGCTTGGGGTTGGTGTGTGTGGTTGCGTGCTTACTGCCGGTGAAGTGAGTTCCGGCACCATTTTTTTTTTTACAAAAAAAGCACTGCTCTGTACTCTTAAAATGTATTTCAGATGTTTTATACAGCAATTATATATGCCATTGTAGTTATAAGCTACTAACCTGTATTACCGCAAGGTGAATTTCCAGTTCAGCAATTCTCTTTCCTATACAACTCCGAATACCATAACCAAAGGGGATGGAACCAAAATTATCCACCCTGTCTATATTGCTTTTCCTTAGCCAGCGCTCAGGTTGGAACTTATTTGCTAGTGGGAAATTATCTTCTTGATATGAAGTAGCATAATGACAGAGTGCCAGTTGTGTCTAATGAAACAAACACACACATTTACAAACTACTTATAATTTCCAGTTTTACACTCTTATATAGAATATCCGATTATTGACAAAGGTTTTATTCAATGTCAGTCTAATTCAATCTCAGTGGGTCAACTTTACACAGGACACAATTTATGTAGCACCAGTATAAATAACTCCTTGCATAATGGCAACAGTGTCAACTGGTTTTCCCAGGAAAACATGCCACATTAGCTTATCCTATTGCCATAACACATTAGTGCTACTTACATTGCATAAACATAGAGGCTGCCCAGTATCAAAGACAAAACAGAATGATTATACTTAGATACTGACTGATATTCTAAGATTTCTAACACACAAAAATACAATATAAATGCCATTATAAGAGCAATATAAAATAATAGTTATATTGAAAACACTACAGAAACAGTGAAACAGAGATGCGCAAATACACATCAGAGAAAGCCTGAATAAACGGGCGTATCTTCACGATTACTGCCTACCAAAGTGCTTGTGGGACATTGTTCTAGGGGGTAGGTCCCATTACTGAAAAGGCTCATTTATGTGCCATTATTTGATAACAAAATATATATTTACAGATAGATATACAGTCCTACTGTGCCCATGAGCTAGTGGGACTCCCTGTTAATGCAATTGGGAGTGTGCGGTTCTTAACCAGAAAATAAGCAGAAACACTAGTCTCTGGAATGAAAGTCAGCAGAGTTCATAAAATGGAGCTCTGCTAATCAGTTCAGATATGGAAAAGGGCATTGCCACTCATTTCCAGTTTAACTTTATGAAGCAGTAACTCCCCAATCTGCTAGTGGTCAATCCCACTGGCCTAATGGAACGAATGGGGGCACAGTAGAGGAAGCTGCCCATAGTTTTTATTGAAAACTATACAGTTGTGGACTTGTACATGACCATTAAAAAAAAACCTGTTCTGGGCTTCTGATTCTTCTATCTAGAACTCCAGAGAAGTCTAGAAAGAAACAACCCATATATCCACAGTTGGTCTCATTAGATCCATCTTATGTAGCTAACAGATTTCACAAAGCAATCAAAACACAAGCTGTAACTCAAAGCAAATTCAAATGGATGGTATTCTTCAAGGAACAAATCACGGTGAATTTGAGAAAGGAATGCCAAATGTTGCTGTTGATGCTTCAGTCAGTTATTTCATCAGCATCAACCTGCCTTTTGGTGGAGCATTGCTGAATGGGTGATCGACATGCATCTTCAGGTACACTTGGGCAAAATGCATTGTTTATAACCCACTCCCATCATATCATAGCATAATGGAAGGGCAAGAAAAGACAGTAGAAGTATAGTGTGACCTAATGGCAGAAAGTGGCTGTTAGCATCTTTATACTGGTAAAATATGTGATCAGAGATATACTTGGTCTTTGGATGTGACTATAAGCCAATGAGGAGCCTTGTCCACTACAATCATCCACAGCTGCAAGTGTGGATTGCTGTGCAGCTTTTATGTGTCTGCTCTTTATCAACCACACAGACAGAAGTTGTTCTTACAGAATGACTCTCAAAGATGGATAGGGATTTTGTTGCTATAATTCTATTCAACTGTACAGATGCAAAACTTTTAACTGGATTTTTTTATAGCAATGTAAAGATCCTGCATTAATTCAGCTATCTCAGAGTGTGAGATGAATTTGCCTTTCTCAAATACAACTGTTAGTCTATAAAGGTGTCTTGCCTCTCAGGCCCTAAACTGTTTGAATTTCTTGGGTTAGGAAAAAGGGGGGTGTATGGGGCAGCTTTCTTCATAATCTCAATGTGGTTTCCAAGAAAGAATTTGCAACTTTTAGTAATTCTAATTTTTTTTAATGTTGAGAATGAAAAGGGTCACAAATGTAGGGAATCAGGAAGGAGTTCCATCATGGTACTCTTTAACATTAAAGGAATAATTAAAAGAATCGTTTCATTTGAAGAGAGTCATAATATAATTAAGGTTTGGAAAACTGAAAAAACCCCTCTTCTGCTTATCAATAAAGAAATAATGTGATCTCACTAGCATTAATTAAAACTCCAATATTTCCTGCCACTTTTAAAACCACGTTAAAGGAATTATCATTGAAAAGTTTTAAAACAAAAAATACAATTTTGGAAGAGTTTTCATTTTATGGTAGGCATTCTGTCTAACCTTAACAGGTTTAATTCTTTCCAAAAATGGAGCTCTTTTCAGCTGCTTTACTAAGGTATCTGAGTTCTATTCCTCAACTGTTTTAAGTATTTTAGCATGAAAAGTCAATAATACTTTAAGTTTTCAGTTAATGATCTCACCTAATTTAGGTTAAACTAGACTTTCACAAAATATCTGGTTTCTTCGTACAGGAAATATCATCTGCCCCTTTCCCACTCCTTTCATAAATCTTTTATACTACTCACCCCTTTAGGTATCAGGTATCCTCCAAGAATCATATCTTTTTGGGTTACTCTACCATTTCCTGGTAATACTGGAAATAACCTACAAATAAGTGCCAAAATAGTCAGTGCTCGTATAATACATTTCTTAGAATTCTTTGAAGGTGCTCACAAGAATAGAGGTAATGATAGGGTAATTCAGTAAACTCTATGTGCTTAGACTTTTAAACAGCTGTTGACAAACTTCCTTTCTATCCATGGCTCCTATGAAATTTTCACAGTAACAGTCGACAGGAATAGACAAATGTTTCTGACAAGGTAGCCAAATAAATAGGGGTCTCCCAAGAATTTGTCTCATGGATGCCATTTAATTTTTGTACAAACAATCTCAACAGTGAGGTAGCCACAGCCATAGATACACCAAATTATTTAAGATGTCAAAAAATAAAGTGATTGCAAAGAGTCCCACCCCAAAAAAGCCTCCCCAAAGTGGATGACTGGACAATAGAAGGACAGATATAATATGATAGAGGTAACCTGATAAACAGACAAAAAATAAATTAAAAAAGCGATACTAGTTTCACCAATAGATTTTAAACTGACAGTAGCCCCACAAGGAAAGCTCTTGGGTGCATGACTGAATGTTCAGTGCACTACAGCATTGAAGAAGGCAAGTTCGCTATAAAAAATGATCTAAAATCCAACAGATATTTAATACCATTTTATATATCTGTATTGAACAATTTTGAAATATTGTGTGTAGGCTACCCTGTTTCCAGAAGAATAATGCTGAGATGGAGATAATATAGAAAAGAACATAATGCAGTATAATACTATACATTTATTCTCAAAAGTAAATCCCACCATATTCAGAGGGTTAGTCTCTGATAAGTGTGCACAAGATAGCCCAAAAGGATTGAGAATATGGAATATTCTTTTTATAAATATCAAAAGAATATAAAATTAAAATAAAACAATAACAGCTGTAATCCTAAAAACACAGTTACAAGAGAATAAGTTCCATTGAACACAATGGGACTTCCTTCTAAGTAACTAACATGTATAGGATTGTACTGCTGGAAGGCATATGAAATAGCTTTAGTGTTTGAGGGAGAAACTTATTTTTTCCCCAATTGCTAATATTTGAAATAAGAAAATGATTGAAGAACCATTGAAACTCATAATCAACTCAAGAAATACATATTTGCTTGTTTATTAAATCTATATCTTGCTTTTCCCTCATGGCCACTTGGCATTATGATGGCTGCTGGAATAAAATTACTTTGTAAAATGATCAAGAAAGTTCATGGAGAATACGTCTATTAATTAACATTAGCAATACTAATTAGAAAAGGAACATCTATGTTCAAAGACAATATACTTCCTAACACAAAAACACCGAACAGCAACCAGTAGCAGAGCAATAAAGGATACCTCTTGTGATCTTGCTGGAGGCATGCAGCTGGCCACTGCTGGAGTCAGAATTCTGATCCAGACATCATGGGAAACCATGGTTTCCTCTTACAAGAACGAGTCTTATGCACTCCCTTTCCTCCATGCACAAGAGGAGACTGGTGGCTTTTGCTTTAACACTTGAACTCACCACAGCTTCTGGTTATCTACAGACAAAGGGGTCTTAACACATTTGGGGCTGCTTAGCTTAGAGAAAGGGTGACTAAGGGGAAGCACAATAGAAGTGTATAAAATTATGCATTCTGTGGAGGAAGTTTTCCTCCATATCTCATCACATCCAGAGCCAGGCATATCTTTAGGCAGAGTAAAGCAGTTGTATCAAGGTGCAGATTCTGGGAGGCAGCAGAAAAGTATTGAAGACCTGTGTAACATCCGCGCTATTTTGCACCATTGACTTAACCCATTTTCAGGTACGGTGTCAATTAATCAATGTTAAAAACAAATTCAACTGCTAGTCCTCTCAGCTTTTGTATATGCATTGGGAAGGGATTCCATCTTATTCTTTGCCTCAGGCTGCAACTTGCTTTCTGTTGTCCTGATAAAACAGTCCAATGAAGCTGAATGGAAGATTTAGGACAGTTAAATGAAGTTGTATCCTCCTCCCTGACCCGGAACAGTTCCTCTTGCTGTTGGCTTCCTTTCAGCATCCAGTTAAGACCAGGCTATTCACCCAAACATTTTTTAAGTAACCATACCTTGATTATGACTCATCACAGATTGTTGTGTTGAATTGTGAGGGTTTGCTGTAGTTTTATGATTTAATGTTAAATAAATGTATTTTAATTGATTGTATGGTGCCCTGAGATCTTTTGATACAAGGTAAGCAAGAAATAACCTAATAAATTAGTAAACTAATAGATAAGTACTTGTTTACCAATCTTAAGAGTTAAATTATGGAACTCACTGCCACAAAATGTATTGATAGCCACCAGCTGGACAGTTGCAAAAGAGAATTAAACATATTTATGGAAGTTAAGGCAATCAATGGCTGCTAACCATGGTGGTAATATATTACCTCCAGTATCAAAGACAGTATGCTGAGGAACATCAACAGGAAGAGGATGTTACACACATGCCCTGCTTGTGGGGCTCCCATGGGTATCTGTTTGGCCACTCTTCAAACAGAATATCATTCTGGATAGACCTTTGGTCTGATCCAGCATAGCTCTTTATATGTAGCTTGCTCTAGCTAAGAACAATTAACATTAAAACAATTGAATATCAAGTCATAGTTCAACCATGGTTTGCTTTAACCATGGATAGAACAAATCATAGTTTCTTGAGTTGAGATATAACAATGAACTTTGTTTGGCTCAAAAATACAGTGGACTTTTCAATTTTCTCTTCTTACATAAGGAAATTGAGAAGAGGGAAGGAAGGGGAGCATTTGGGTAGCCAAAGACAGGATTCCTGTACCTTTAATAGTTGCATAAAAGGAGTTTCAGAAGGTGCATTTTCATGAGAGTTACACAACCATCTGATAAAATTCCCCTTCTCTAGTTACTAAAGTGCAAGAGCCCTGCCTCTTCTGAATCTGGCCATCCTAGCATCATGGAAGCCCACAGGTCACACTACTCATTCTAAGGACCATGGTTTCCAATTACCTTGATCCAGGCCTGACTGCTGAGCCAAATTAATTAATGGTGCATTCCAATAAGGCAATTCTTATGATGTAGTATACAGGATTTATACTTGGATTAGGAGTACATTATGCAATACATTCACAGAATTTAAAGAACCATAGCAGTTTTGAAATATGCTACAGATAAAAACAATGGCCCAGTTTAGAAGATTAAAGATTATGTGGGATTATATTCATATACCCACATACAGCACATACAGTTTCTCTCATCTCTCCACACAAGTGAGAAAACGAAGGAAGGTACAGTTAACTGTATATTTTACCATTATGTTCCTATCTGGTACCTGTGAATAGGTGGCTTCAAAAAACCCAGGCTATGAAGCCATGAATTAAACTTGGCTTATGAATCCCAGTTTGTTTGGAAGCTACTAACCATAGCTTTTGGTCTGCACATAACATCAAGCTACGGTTAAGTGTGGCCTTCTGGCTTGTTCTCTTGTTCATGCAAAGGGAAGGGAGTGCAGGCCAGTGCATGATGTTTGTGCCTATCCTACTTTCTTAAGCTAGGATTTGATTGCCCTAACATGTCCTACTTTGAAAAGATGCTCCAAAGGCTATCTTACAATGAAGTGCGCCCCTTTGGTTATGGTGCACAAGTTTATTAGATATATCCATCTCCAGCTGCCTTTGAGATTACATTTGCACCTAAGTAATTAGAAGCAGTGATCTAGTATGTGAGGAAGCAAGACTCAAGTCCACAGCTTAGTGGGGTTAATTTAAAAAAAAAAAAAACACTCTCTAATTACACCTCCAAACATGACACCAGTGTGAGAAACTCCACAGTTTTGTCTCTGCCTTTGGTTTTAACAATATTTTTTTCTGCATCAGCTTATTCATCTGCAGAACAGGTATAATTAACTGGTCACAGTGCTATTGATAAAAGAGTAATCAGGAGTTCAATTATTCATTTAAAGCACTGGCCTCAGTCTGCCACTATTATTTTGCAAACATCTCCGAGAGAAACCAGGGGCAGATGCAAATGTACTTCTTTCTTCTTCACAGAGTTCCAAGCTACAAATGGAAGGGAGATTGGGTGTGGGGAAGTGGAATACATTATCATCTTAACTCCTTCTCCCCTCTAAATCTCATGTACCCAAGAAGAGGCTTTCTTCCTGCAGAATTGCAAATGTGTGTTTGCAGAGGTTGGAGCTTCAGAACTTCACTGCCAGAAAAAGCCACTAGGGGACAGAGTCCAGAACAAATTCAGAACACTGCATCTTGCTTCTCCAAGCCCAATTGCCACTACATAAGCAGTTTTTCCTTTCAAATCAGGCAGCTGAAGTAATTTTCTACATCTCTGCATATACTACTTCAATCCAAAGTTACATAAAACTGTGACATCTTAATTGTTTTTGTGTGTATTTCCTTAGGAAGCCATCTTTCCTGAACAGCTGATTGAATAGTATTGTTTTCCCCTCTCTGACATGGAAGCAAGTTATTTAAATAGGTGTTTCCTTATGTCTAGCCTTACTGGTGTAAGTTAGAGGCAGAACTTGGGTCCAAGTAGCATCAGTTAACAGTTCTATTGCATTTAGCTAGATTCTCTCTCATTTCAGTGTATGTTTACTGAGACACTACTAGCTTCAATGGAACTTACTCTTTAGAATGTGCCTAGAAATACACCCATAAGTTTTCTTGAATGAGACATCTTCAAATACCCAGAATACCCCAGTATAGAAATAAAGAAAAAACAGAAATATTACGATTTAAATGGATACACTGTAACAAGAATGCTACAAAACCTTCTGTCAGCTAAATTTTTCTATACTTACCTTAAGGTTTCTTTGAGAAGAGCTCTAACCATGGGCAAGTTGGGGATATCCTGTGCATCAGGGACTTCATCCTTCCCCAGATTGCTAACTATTTCTTTATAAATAGAATGCTGCACTTCTGGATGCTTTGCTAATAGGTAAGTTGCCCAGGATAAACTGAATGAAGTCTAACAGAGAGGAAAGGACAGTAGTGGGAAACGAAGTAATAATATTTGCAAAATAGTGCACCTCAATCAAACAAAGTTATAACTATTAAGAATAATGCCTAATATTTATAAAATACTTTCCCAAACATATTGTTATGCATATTTATGTAGAAGGAAGTTTATTTATTTGATTTCTACCCCACCCCATTAGCCATAAGGCTCCCTGGGTGGGTTAGAACAACAAAAATACAGAATAAAATACAGTATAAAAACAAACATTACAAATAATAATAGCATATTTAAACCAACATACAATGCACAAAACTGATAACATACCCCACAGTTAAAATACTTCTTAAAACAAATTAGCAATTAAAACACCATCAAAATAAAAAGGTCTTCACCTGGCACCTAGAAGAATATAGATAGGGGGCCAGGCAACCCTCTCTGAGGAGCTTGTTCCAGGCCAGAGTGCCACTGCAGAAAATGCCCTTCTTCGTGTCACCACGTCCTTATTTCCTGAGGAGGGGCTCCTTCAGAAGAGCCTCAGATGAAGATCTAAGATGCCAGGTGGGTTCATATGGGAAGAGGTGCTCCTTTAGATAGCCTGGCCCCAAGCCATTTGGGGCTTTAAACCTCAGTGTTAACACCTTGAATTGGGCTCCCAGACCTCAACTGGGAGCCAGTGAGGACGGCAAAGGACTGGCTTTATATGATCATATCTGTCAGACCTTATTAACAATCTGGCCACCTATTCTGGACCAACTGAAGTTTCCAGACCATCTTCAAGGAAAGTCCCATGTAGAGCACATTGTCTGTCCAGATATGGCCAGAGCTGATATATCAGCTTAAGCTGATAGAAGGTGCTCCTGGCCACCAAATCCACCTGAATAATTCAGGGTCCAGAAGCACCTCCAAGCTGCTCTGTTTGGGGGAATGTGACCCCATCCAGGACAGGCAAGATGTCACCCATCCAGACAGACAGACTCCCCACCAACAGTATCTCCATCTTATCTGGATTACGTATCAGTTTATTAGTTCTCATCCAATCCATTACTGAGGCCAGGCCCCAATTCAGAACATCCACTGCCAAACCTGTATCCAATGAAAAAGAAAGGTAAAGCTGAGTGTCATCAGCATATTGATGGCAACTCAGCCCACACCTTCTGATGACCTCACCCAGCAGTTTCATGTAGATGCTAAAAAGAAAGTTCCACTGTTCCCAGTAGAGTCTACTCCCATTGCATAGGATTGGGGCCTAAAACTTCAACATTATTATTTTGATTATGAGACCTACAGCCATGTTTTCTTGCTTTCTTCACTGATGTCTGATTAAACATGTATAAGTCTGCACTGTTAGGCTTCAACACATACACAAGTACATCCACAGAATTTTACTTGGATATAAGCATGCTTATGGGGGTTTACTTGTACTGAACTACAAGTTAAAGTATTCTTCCTCTTAGAGAGAAATCAAAAAAGTAAAATAAAATACTTTATATAATCTAAAAACTGGCTTTATTCTTTATCTGTCATCTGACTTCTTCAGAATTCAGTTATCATCTTTTGTGGCCCTTCCCTGGGCAGAGGTACGCAGTAAGGATACAATGAGGAACTTCTTAGATAGCGTCATTTCAGTATTAACACCTTGGCTATGGAATACCCTACTCAGACATCTCCATTGCAACCAATTTGATGTCCGATGAAGACCATTTTTTCTTCTCCAGATTCTAATTTTAAATATTTCAGTTCTTTTTAGATCTGGCAAACTGACGTAGTCTTTGTGATTGGCTTTAATCTGTTGTTTTCTTATTCTGCTATTTTATCTCACATATTTTTTATTTTATGCCTTAAAAATGCTCGTGTATATAGCCTGGAGAACTTTTCCAATTGTCCAGTTAGATTTTACAGAAGGCACAATACATATTCCTCAGACCACTAACAGAAGTGCTTTAAGGAACCTAGCATGGAATTTATTGTTTTCATTTCTTAATTTTCTACTACAATATGAATTATTTGAATGTCAAATTGTGTTTACTATTTTAATATTTATCAAAGCATTTGTCATATATTTAGGGATAAGGTGTACATGATATTCAATACTATTGTCCCCAGCCTCACAAAACAGAGTAAAAGCCCGGACATCCTTTTAGTTCATCTATTTTGAGTTTGTCCAGTACTATTTTCTTACAAACTCAGCACTGGATTGTTACTATCTGTAGACTAGAGGCTGGGAACTGTGCCTAACTACATAAGAAATTACTGTGATCTAAAGACTGTGTCCTCTCAGGTTCCCAGTGCCTTCACATCCTCTTCAAAACTGACACTGTGCTAAAGTATCTGAGGTGCTTTGAAGCTCAGTAAGAGTACCCTGGACTATTTTGTTCAAAGCCTTTAATAACCCTTTCATGTAACTACAGTTTTATATTAAAAATCACAGCTCTGGGAAACCAGGCCTTATGTGCTTCCTCTTGTGCAGAACAGATAAATAAGTCACTGCCAGCTAAAGAGGTGGATATAAATGGAGACAATTTCTCTGACAACATGAGAGAATTGAAAGAACAGGGCATGTTTAGCCTCAAGAAGAGAAGACTGAGGGGAGATATGATAGCTCTATACAAGTACCTCAAAGACTGTCACAAAGATGAAGAACAAGATCTCTTCTCAATCATCCCAGAGTGCAGGACAAGGAATAACAGGCTCAAGTTACAGGATGCCAGGTTCCAGCTGGACATCAACTGCTCTTCCTGACTGTTTGCGCAGTATGACAATGGAACCAATTACCTAAGGTGGTTGTGGGCTTTCCCACACTAGAGGCATTCAAGATGCAGCTGGACAGCCATCTGAGAGGGATGGTTTAACCTGCAATTAGCAGGGGGTTGAACTCAATGGCCTTCTGATCCCTCCCAACTCTACTTTCTTTGATGCTATGTTATTATTTATGGATACATTTGATTAACTGTGAGGAAATGGAAGTTCCCTAGGAATCACCAAAGTCTAAAGCATGCCCAACTCTTCATTTTATTTGGAGGTCCTGAAGTTTCATTTGTTTTCCTCTGATTTTGATTTTGGCAACATACAGGTATGTGAGGAGGTGTCACATGGAGATGGGAAGAGACCTGTTCTCCCCTGCAGAGGCAGGCAGGACGCGCTCCAACGGAGCAAAGCTCAGGGAGCCAAGGTTCCGTTTGGATTCCAGGAAGTACTTCCTGACAGTCAGGACCCTGAGGGTGTGGAATGGGCTTCCACGAGAGGTCGGTGAGGCCCCATAGGTGCGGGTGTTCAAGAATAGACTGGACATGCACACGGTGGGCATGTCGTGAGTGGAGCCGGCTGGAACCGAGGGTCAGACTGGATGGCCCGGGAGACCCCTTCTGGCTCGCTCTGTTTTTATGTTTCTAGGCACACTAAATCCAACTCTCTGGTGTAGATTTTTTTAACAAATTATGCTGAATAATTTCTTAATTGTATTGCCCTAGATTATACTGGGAAGACTTCCAGTAATAAAAGAAAATAATCTCACCTTTACCTGACCATATTAAATGCCATTGTGCCCCTTATTACCTAGCTTTTTATAAGCCACTACTTTGTTACTTTTACATCGCTGTCTTTTTTCTTAGAAAAGTCTGATCATGCAAAAAGTGTAGGCAAAGAAAGACTGGTTTGCTGTTTCTCAAATGTCAGCTGTAACTTCATAGAAGCAACTTGTAAAAATTCATGTCCAGTTTAAGGGAACAATCAAATCAGTGTGAAACATAGATTTTACTGGAATTGGCACAACTGCTTGTGGGTTTCACATTTATTTCCCATTGACTATCTAAAGTCAAAGCCTTCATTACAAAACAAGGGAGGGTGTATGTTTAAATAAATGTAGCTCTTCCAGTTCATATTCACACAAAACACAGGAAGTGAGTAATGAGAGGCAGAAAGCCTATCATTTAACAAAACAGCATGTAGAATAGTCCCTGGATTTTCTCTGTCTTTCAGAATAATTTCAGACATTTAGGGAGTGCACATTCACCGAAAATAACAATAAGTACACTAATAATATCGTACCACCTCAACTGACAATGATGGTAACAATAATGTAATAAATAACTGATAGTAAACTTACTGTATCTACCCCAGCCAAAAGCATTTCCGTCATATTGGCATAGATTTCTTCTACAGTGAGTTCCTTACTCTTAAGCAGAGTTGTGAGAAGTCCACCATCTACCTCTTCTCCTTTGTCTAAAAGAGGCTTTATGTCATTTAACTTATTGTCAACATGAATCTGACCTTTATGAGTAAAATAAAGGAAAAAGAATATTGTCAGGTTCTTAATTTCTCATGCAGTTGTTTCCTATTTCTAATGTGGTGACCGCAATATGGGCTCTTCAGTACAGGGTCAGAGATTAAAGAATTATATCTCTGTATAACGCCAATCCCCTTCAAACCACTGATCTCACTAGTAAATCCTTGTTAGAAAAGTATTCTAACGGTTAAGCAAACTGGTCTGTTTGGCAAGGCACATAAACTACCTCCTTACTGTGAATTCTGCAATACAGAGAATTGCACCAAGAAGAAAAACAAGCTATACAATAATTACAGTTGCTGAAAAACATGGATTTTTTTTGGCAGCTGTTGTTTTATTGCTTTTTGGGTAAGGTGCAGTGCAGAGTTAGGTCTAAATCATGTATTCTTTTCAACCTGCAGCTCTACAGATGTTACTAGCTTCAAGCTGCCATCAGTTCGAGACAGTGTGGCCAAGATGGATTTAATGTGGGTTGGAGTTTCTTAGGTCCAAGAAGCTAGTGCATCATGAAGCAGCAGGTGCAGAGTTTGGTACTGATCCTTGATCCAACATTGTTGTTAGATCCCTAAATCACAGCATTGACCTGGAACATGGCTTACTAGCTTCAGCTGGTTCATCACTTGCAGCCTGTCTGGGATAAGGATAGCCCTCTCATGGAAATCTTTGGGCTGGTTACTGCAGGGGCAGGCAACCAATTTTTGCCTGAGAGTCAAATGACCCCTTTGGACAAAGCCCACAGGTTGGATTATGTTATAGAGGTTTGTCTCCACCTCAAAGCTCCACCGGGACTCAGCCCAATTCTTCAGAGGGTAAGTTGCCCACTGTTGCATTAGGATTTGGTATCCCACTTGTTGCAACAAGACTTAATTATGCTCATTTATGGAGAAGCGTCAATTATTTCCAGCATTCTCCATGAACAATTACAAACAACTTAATCATCTCAGTTTTTTCCTACTCAGTCCCAGTATTTCGTATTAGATTTTTCCTGTAGAGACATCTTAAAGTAATCCTTAATGTGTCAAACTTACTTTTTTGGGCAGCCATTTCATATTACAACTACTCAAAAAAACAGAAGCAAATGCGATTCAAATAATTGCAAACATACCAAAACAATTTTTAGGAACTTACTAAATTTAAAAAGTCCATCCCATGATCTACAGAAGTCTCTCCAAGGCTTTGGAATAATTGGACGAAGCCATTTGGGAATAGCTCCAGCATACATGGTAGTTTTGAAACTGCTAAACATCAGCTCCAGTGCTTCAATGTATTCCACAGTATTCTGAGGGATGTGATTTTCCAGGCATCCCAAGCGGCACTCATACAGAACAGTTGCTGCTCCTGCACAGGCAAAGTAACTCAAGAATGTATTCTTTTCTTTTCCAGTATGACTTTCAGTAGAATCCTATACATGTTTATTCAGAAGACAGCCACACTGACCGATTCCCAGTAAGAGTGTAGAGAATTCCAGTGCTAAAGTCCAGAAATAATGCCCCACCCCAGCAAAAAGAAGCAAGATGCAATCTCTAAATTGAAGTTGCACTTGTTCCATGTTTATTAAGGAGTAAGTCCCATTGATTCAACATGCACATAAGTGCGTTTTGAGTATATATTCTCACGCACAGGAAATAAAATACAGCCTTCAACAATGTGCACACAACATTGATAGATGGTGTAGATAAAAGTTGTAGAATTTGTGATGCAAATTCCATTTTGAAGATACTTTTAAGAGCTGCATTCTAGTAGCAAGCAGAAGGCAAAAAGGGTGGAGACAAAACCAAAAATACCAGCCTGTTTTAACTTACAGCTCTTACTGCCAGTAACTAAGCCCTAGAGGAGATATACCGTGTTCCCCCCAAAATAAGACACTGTCTTATATTATTTTGGCTCACAAAAACACACTAGGTCTTATTTTCAGGGTAGGTCTTTTTTTTAATGTGTACAACAATCCACACTTATTCATGTACAACAGCATGAATACGTGTACATTTGGTACATTTGGTATCACTCCGCCTGTGACAGGAGCCAGCGCTATAGAGGAAGCATCGGCTTATGCGGCTCTGTGCGGAGGGCAGGGAGCAGAGGGAGCAGAGCTGCACAAGCATGTTTCCTCCACACAGTGCATTAAGTTAAAGTTAAGTTAAAAATAAAGTTTAAAAAGGCTCTTTATGTTCCCCACTGGCCCTGGGAATAAACACAGCTAGGTCTTATTTTTGGTGCAGGTCTTATATTTTAGCAAGTACCAAAAATAGTACTAGGTCTTATTTTCAGGATAGGTCTTATTTTCGGGGAAACAGGGTATCAACTTTTCAGAACAGTGGGAAACTATAGAAAAGCTAGAATCCTACCAACCCATGGGAAAGTGGGTGGGTCCAATGAAAGAGTGCTTGGCATTCTGTGTTCAAAGATAGGCTGGACATGCACATGGTGGGCATGTCATGAGTGGAGCCGGCTGGTGCCGGAGGTCAGACTAGATGGCCCGGGAGACCCCTTCCGACTCGCTCTGTTTCTATGTTTCTGAGGACTGGAAACCCCAGGGGATGGTATGTAGCCCTAGAGTCTGATGTTCTGCCTGGTGCAGACTATATGCAGTGCAACATAATTCATCCATAATGCACTGAAAACACAGAACAAGATACACATGGGCATTATTGAAAGTACAGTAGCTGGCGAGGCCACTATGCAATTGAACAAAACAGCACCAACATTATATGAATCCAGAAAATGTTGTTTTGTGATGTGACACAACCCACCTTATCTTCTCCATTACTAAATAGTACTTATCATAGCAATATAAGATTTATGGAATGCTGTACTCATTTGATTCAATTTTTGCAATAGTGTTTATAATTGATAATAATAAATACACATATGTTTTAACTTGAATTCCCTTTTAAGAAATCTCACCTTCCATTGAATACTTGAAAAAAAGGCTGTTAACATTTATTACTGTTTCCCCATCCTCTTCTTGATTTCTGAGAAAGTAGATTCTCTTAATTAAATCTGCAATAACTTCATTAATTCCTCCTGAGAAAATGGCAACATCCTTGGGTTTTACCATTTTTTGCCTTAGTATACGCCGCATTTTTAGCCACTGTTCTCCTTCTCTGGAAGAAATAACAATTTAAAATGATCTTGATCATACTATTTGTCAAAAAGTTAAAAATATATTTTATTATTAGGAGACAATAAGGAAAATGCTTATACCTGAAACTGTTGTTGGAGGGAGACATTTTTGACAAATATTTATTCAACATAAAGCAAATAATATATTCAATTATATTATATATCTATATTATATAATTTAGGTATTTGTGTATTATGCTACTATTATTGTTTAGTCACAGAGTCATGCCCAACCCATCATGTCCCCATGGAAAACATTCCTCCAGGCTCTCCTGTCCTCCACCATCCCTCAGAGTCCACCCAAGCCAACACCCACTGCCCCAGTAACCATCTAGCCACCTCAGCCTCTGCCGTCCCCTTCTCCTTATGCCGTCAATCATTCCCAGCATCAGGGTCTTCTCCAATTAGTTGTTCCTTCTCATTAGGTGGCCAAAGTATTGGAGCTTCATCTTCAGTGTCTGGCCTTCTAAAGAGCAGTCAGGGTTGATCTCCTCTAGGACTGACCGGTTTGATCGCCTTGCAGTCCAACGGACTCGCAGGCGTCTTTTCCAGCACCACAATTCAAAAGCGTCAATTCTTTGGCACTCAGCCTTCCTTATATTCCAACTTTCACAGCCATGCATTGCAACTGGGAAAACCATAGCGTTCACTATACGAACTTGTGTTGGCAGGGTGATGTCTCTGCTTTTTAATACGCTGTTTAGATTTGCCATAGCTTTCCTCACAAGCAGTAAGCGTATTTTAATTTCTTGGCTACAGTCCCCGTCTGCGGTGATCTTGGAGCCCAGGAAAATAAAATCTGTCACTACTTCCATGTCTTCCCCATCTATTTGCCAGGAAGTGAGAGGACCGGATGCCATGATCTTAGTTTTCTTCATGTTGAGTTTCAAGCCAACTTTTATGCTCTCCTCTTTCACCTGCATCAAGGGGCTCTTGAGTTCCTCTTCACTTTCTGCCATTAGAGTGGAATTGTATGTGTATCTAAGGTTGTTGATATTTCTCCCACCAATCTTAATTCCAGCTTATGATTCATCTAGCCTGGCCTTTTGCTTGATGTGCTCTGCATATAAGTTAAATAGGCAGGGTGACAATATACAGCCTTGCCATGCTCCTTTCCCAGTTGTGAACCAATCATTCATTCCATGTCCAGTTGTCACTGTTGCTTCTTGACCCATATACAGGTTTCTCAAGAGACGAATAGGATGGTCTGGTACTCCCATCTCTTTAAGAACTTGCCACAGTTTGTTGTGAACCACACAATCAAAGGCTTTAGCATAGTCAATGAAGCAGAAGTAGATGTTTTTCTGGAACTCTCCGTGATCCAGTGTATGTGGGCAATTTTATCTCTAGTTTCTCTGCCTCTTTGAAATCCTGCCTGTACTTCTGGTAGTTCTCAGTCCACATACTGCTGGAGCCTAGCTTGTAGGATTTTGAGCATAACTTTGCTAGCATGTGAAATGAGTGCAATGGTGTGGTAGTTTGAACATTCTTTGGCATTGCCCTTCTTTGGGATTGGAATGTAAACTGATCTTTTCCAATCCTGTGGCCACTGTTGAGTTTTCCAAATTTGCTGGCATATTGAGTGTAGCACTTTAACTGCATCATCTTTTAGGATTTTGAATGGCTCAGCTGGAATACTGTTGCCTCTACTAGCTTTGTTGTTGCTAACACTTTCTTAGGTCCATTTGACTTCACATTCCAGGATGTCTGGCTCAAGGTCAGCAACCACCCCATCATGGTTATCAGGGCCATTAAGAAATTTCTTGTATAGTTCTTATGTGTAATCTTGCCACATCTTCTTAATCTCTTCTTCCTCTGTTAGGTCCCTGCCATTTTTGTATCTTATGCCCATCTTTGCATGAAACGTTCCCTTCATATCTCCAATTTCTTGAAGAGATCTCTAGTCTTACCCATTCTATTGTTTTCCTCTATTTCTTTGCCTTCTTATCTCTTCTAGCTATTCTCTGGAATTCTGTATTCAATTGGATGTATCTTTCCCTTTCTCCCTTGCCTTTCGTTTCCTTTCTTTCCTCAGCTATTTGTAAAGCTTCCTCAGATAGCCATTTTGCTTTCTTGCATTTCTTTTTCTTTGGCATGGTTTTAGTTGCTACATCCTGTACAATGTTGCAAACCTCCGTCCATAGTTCTTCAGGCACTCTGTCTTATCAGATCTAATTCTTTAAATCCATTTGTCACCTCTACTGTATATTCATCAGGGATATGATTTAAGTCATACCTGAGTGGCCTAGTGCTTTTCCCTACTTTCTTCAACTTAAGCCTGAATTTTGCACCAAGAAGCTCATGATCTGAGCCACAGTCAGCTCCTGGTCTAGTTTTTACTGACTGTATAGAGCTTCTCCATCTTTGGCTGCAGAGCACATAGTCAATCTGATTTCTGTGTTGCCCATCTGGTGATGTCCATATGTAATCTCATCTCTTGGGTACTGGAAAAGAGTGTTTGCTATGACCAACATATTCTCTTGACAAAGTTCAACCAGCCTGTGCTTCATTTTGTACTCCAAGGCCAAACTTGCCTGTTATTCCAGTTATCTTTTGGCTTTTTACCTTAGCATTCCAATCCCACAAGATGATAAGGACATCATTTTTAGGTGTTATTTTTAGAAGGTGTTGTAGGTCTTCATAGAACCGGTCAACTTCAGCCTCTTTGGCATCAGTGGTTGGGGCATAGACCTAACTCCCCCACTGATGCTATTCCACAAAAGATGAAATAAAGGGAACATGGGATGTATTTCACCAGTGAGCGTAAAATGCTTTGACTGACTCTCAGACCATTTCCAAACACATATCAAAGTGCTGGTTCTTTAGGCTACAAACAAGTTAGGACCTGGTTGCCTACTAGGCAACCCCTCGGTCCACAGGAACCTGCTTGAACCCTGAGAGCAATTTAAGGTGAGCAGCATTTCTCTAGGTGCCCATGCCTTCTAACGTGAGGCAGGTGGCAACTAGGGAAACAGATTTCTTAAATAGTGGTATCTCAGCTTTCCAAGAGTCATATGGGGAAGCTCTCCTGTCTGTGCATCCATAGTTAGCCATAAGCTATCAATGACATTTACCTGAAATGTGTTCTTTCTATGAACTAGTAACTACAGTCTGTGACTAAGAACAATCAAAATAACTATTGGGGACAAGCTGGTTTATCTGTATCTGCAGGCCTGCAAAGCAGGGCAAACCACTTTTCTCAAAAATATAAGCACTGTTGCTTGGAAAGGGAGTGAAAGATCCTTGCATAAAACAGAGTATTTCTGGATCACTTCAACTGGTATATTGAACTAAAACAAACAAATTAGAAAATCTTATCTGTTTTGACAAGGATGTAACTCCTCTGCCTTAAATCACTAAAAGGTAATTTGACTAGAACTTTTTATCATTGAGAAAATTATGAAATGCTGTCTCCTTATTTTATTAAGCATGTTAAGTTTAATTATTTCACACCCACCAAATTGTCTCATGCAGTTTTAAATGTTTACAATGAAATAATCAAGCTGCAATCCAATTTAACAGTTATGTGTACTTGAATGCTATTGATTTCAACAGGGCTTTAGCATGCATAACTGTGAAATGACTGCACCCTAACATTCGACTCTAATAACAAAAGACTCCAGGATTATCAAACATAAATAGAACATTCCAGCTCTGAAATTACAGAATAAATATCCTTATTTTGGTCCATACTGCATCACTGAAATTTTGCTGACCTTTTCTAATGCACAATCCAGTTCCAACTACATAAAGTACTTTGCTGCTGCAATTTTATCCTGACAAAGTAGAAAAATGCCTGTGACTCATAAAGGGATTGGTTTTCTTTTGAACAAGCACATTACATCAATAATTACCCTGAATGTTCCCCAAGGGCATTTGCCAACACTCATCCCATTCAAATACAGTTATGTTACAAGCACATTCTTTAAATAAGATTAATCTCTAATTAATTAATTCTTCGAGGCTGTGATGGGTGTCTGAAGAGAGATCCTGGGCGAGTGTGGCTCTACCTAGTTGGACAAGGACAAAGTCTGGGATTGTCACTGATTTAATATGACTGATATCGTGCCAAAGTATGTATTAATCCAAGTGGGGTTTTAATATAGATAATATTTTACGTATTTTCTTCTTTTTTAAATCTATGCATTTATTGAATGGAGCTGATCTTTGACCACAATAAAGTTTTTATCTAGCTAATAAGACTAATCAAAAAGAGTTTTAAAAGTATTACCAGTCTCCTTTTTGCAGAATACAAGGATAATAACATTACTTAGCGGTATAAAGTCAAAAAGGCCATTCCACTCACGCAGATATAAGTCCTGTAGCTCTGCCTCGTAGATCCCTGTATTCCTGCCAGGAATCCATGTCAGCCCGTTGTGGCATGGCCCCTTCCTCCCGAAGAACCTGAGCCACCATGTCTCGATCTGCAATGGATACAACTAGTTTGGGACCAAAATGAGACTTGAAAATTTTTCCATATTCCTGAACGTGCTTTTGCTATGAACAAAAAGTAAATTACAAATGAATAAATTATTCATTCTTACTAACAAATGTACAAAAGTATATCCTAATCTGCAATAATACTATTAATATGCTATTAGAAGTAATGAGTTACTTTTTTGCCTATGCCAAATTACAAAGACAAACAGCACAGAGTTTTATACATTTATATAATTCCCCAGAGTGCAAGATCTTATTTTTCAAAGTTCAGTTCAGTTTTCCATTCTGATGCTCAGATGCAGAAGTCTTCAGTCAGTGTCTCAGATGCAAGCATCTTGTCAGTCATATAGTTTCCAATGTGCCTGACATCAGTGGTCAAGTACCTTGTGAAAATTACCTTTCCCAGGGACCCTGGCACCTGAGATGCTGCCCCTACAGAGTTCAAGGAATCAGCAGGGAGGGAGATGTATATATGTGAGCTTGATTTGAATCTGGGCCAAAGACGAATTTCTCAGGGACACTGGCACTCATTTCATAATCAGCAGAATGTTTATATGCTGGACTGATTTGTATTACGTGCCATTTAATTACAAATTTCAATAATATGACCAGATATTGAATATAATTTCAAAAATGTACATACTCATTCACACTTCCTGTTCTGCCCATTAGTCAAACTTCTGAAACATCTCTCATTTCACTGTCATTGCTACCCCACTGGTTGAACATTATCCTATGAGTTCTAAAGAATGTGTGATTAGTATGCAAATAGCGTACAGGCAGTCTCTGGGTTATGAACAAGTCCTGGTTCTGAGAAAATGTAAAATCATCTTTAAGTCAAATTAAATTCATCTTGAAGTCGGGTCACGCAAGGCCCCATGGAAGTGGGAAAACCACAAATATCTCTATCCCCACCCCATCCCAAGTCACTAGTGTCTCCTCTTTGCAGCAAGGAAATGCTCAAGGAAGTTTCCTATTTGGATGGGCTGGGCAACAAGGCGTGCTTGGGAGGCCCCTCTCTAGGGTGATACTTTAGAGGCCCTCCATGCTTTTCTTCTGCTGTTTCACCATGACGATTTTCTGCAGTAATATTTTAAAAAATTAAAAGACTTGATGGCAGCTTGTTTGTAAGTACGGGTTGTTTGTCACTCAGACATTTGTAACTCAGGGATTGCCTGTACTGTAAAACAATCCTAAAAAAATCTACCATATATTTATTTTAGAATAATTGCTTTGCAAACACAAGAGTCTGATATCTATTATGTTATGTGTCTGAACCATTTTTATAGTTATGTGCTTGAATTAGAATCAGAGCAGAGCAAAGAAAAAATGGCAAACCTGCATTACTATGGAAGCCACATTCTCAATAATTTAAAGTCATCCCCTGAGCATATTAGATGGTAAACCCATACCTAGAAGTGAACCACATTGGATTCAACAGGACTTATATTTGAGTAAACATGTATAGGGATCTACAGTTAATGAGAAGATGTTTCATGTTTGTTTACTTCCTTTTTCTATAACTATTACTGTCTCCATCCTTGATAAATGCTGATTTCCAGGACAAATTTATGCACTTAAATGTCCCGGCTTTAGAATAGATTTATTATTTTAAACACACTGGTGAACACTGCACAGATTTGTGGGGAGAAATGTTTATCTATATAGCAATACATCCTGGCTGACTTCTCTGTAAACGCCAGCTGGAGGCAACAGACAATTACAAAGAAGGTCTGCTGAAAAATATGTGGCAATGAAGAATAAAGAAAATAAGGTGTGTCCTAACAGATTATTTAATAATTTGAAGAATTATTCTTTTAAAAATCATGGCACAAAACCATATTACAAAAGCAGAAGGGATAAAAATCAATATTAAAAAAAATAAATATGCATTTTTAATTTAAATTGGATTTTTAAAAATGATTTTGAGGAAAAATCTATCTAAAGATAGCTGTCTATTTATGCTACATTATAGTCAAAAGGTTATTCAAAAACTAATGAAATGAGGATTAGTTTTTAATGCTGCAGCATAAGGCTGTATATTCATGCAATGTTTAAATATGTTCATAAATGAATGCCATTAATCCATTCACAATGTCATGTTCTTCCAGAGTTTTCTGTAAGATTATTGGGCAATTTTTCTATCCAGAAGATATTATCACAGATGCTTGGTTTTACAGTTCTCAAAATTGTGAATTTGTGCCTGCAGAGATTGCATGCCTCTTCTTCACACCAAAAATGTTATAAAATAAACATACAAGTTGAACGTAATCCTATTGTCCCTTTGCAAATCTATGTACACAGAATCAACCTTTGTGGGTGCAGCTGCAGTGAATGTGTCTGGACCAAGTTATTTAACTTATTACTGCAGTTGTGGGACTGACGTGGAAGAGTACCTGGATTTTCTCAAGTGGCTTATCCACAGGAGATGCAGGGTGGCTACACTTAGGTTTCCCTAGCAATGGAAGTTGGACATGGCTGAGGATTATAACTGCTCCCATTGTACAGGTATGGGGACTGTAGTGCTGCCAAGGGAAGGATGGGCCGGGGAACCTCAAAATAGGAACAGTCAGCAGCACCTTCGTGGAGCATGCTGCATAATTGGAGGGGATGATCTAAGGGGGTTGGCTTAAATCTAACTAAGAAGCAGTTGGTCACTCTTTGTGAGCTGGAAGGCCAATGCTTGTCTCTGGCTGGCCACCATAGGGAAACTATTCACCACATGTAATCTCCTTGGTGCATCAAGCTGTTACAAAGAGAGGTCATTGGGCCAATTTCCATGTATTGACGGGTGGCGGGGAGTTATTCTTGTGACTCCTCATCCAGGTTGGTGAAATGTAAAGGGCAATTTGTCCTGTTCTCCCAATGGAACCTGATGGTGGAGGGCAGATGTGTTCTGGAACCTATCAAACATTGGGGCAGTGGGAGAGTGGGTGAAGGAGGATTGTCCTTGTTTCGACAATGCAGAGAAACCACAGGATGGGTGGAATTACTCCTGGAGCTGATTCTGATTGAATGCTGGACTTGCAGGTTGCTGGATCCTGAGAGAGTTGGGAAGCAGCTAGAGGAAGAAGGGGCCTCCTCCAAGCAAGCTAAGGAGTTTTTAAAAGTGTGATTTAAATTGATTTGATTTAAATCAAATTCACCCTGTTCAAAAGCATACAATTAGACTTATTTAAAGAAACTATACTTGTGTTTGAGAATTTTAGAATTAACTTAGAAATCATACCCAATGGCCAATGTTATGCCTTTGGAGAATGAGTTGCTCAACTGAATGGAAGAAATCTGATTTAAAGCCCCCCCCACCAACAATTGTAGAAGCATAGAAAAGTAAAGTTGGAAGGAGCCATGAAGGCCTTCGGGTCCAACCCCCTGCAGTTTCAGGACACCAGTTTACACCATCCCACTCAGATGGCTGTCCAAGTTCTTTTTCAATGTCTCTAGTGTGGGAGAGCGCACCACCTCTCTAGGCAACTGCTTACACTTTCGTTTTACTCTGACAGTGAAGAAACTTTTCCTGAGTCTGGGTTGACGCAACTTGAGCTGATTATTCCATATTCTACACTCTGGTATCAGCAAGAAGAGATCTTGACCTTCCTCTTTGTGACAGCCTTTGAGGAGGCTTATAGAAGAATATCATGTCCCCCCCTCAGTCTTCTCTTCTCAAAGCTGAACATGCCCAGTTCTTATAGGGCAGTGTTTCCAAACCCAGGAACATTTTTGTTCTCTGAACTCCTTCTAATAACAAGGAGGTAATGTTTGCCAATGCCTTCCTCCCTCAGCAATCTCCAGCACCACTTCCCATATTGTTTTAGAGGGCCTCCAGTCCTCTAAAGCAGATTTTCAAATGACACTGGGAATTGTAGGGAGAAGTGGAATGAGGGATCAGGGGGTGCTGGTTGACTGCAGGCTAAACATGAGTCAGCAATGTGATGTGGTGTCAAGAGGGTGACCGCCACCCTTGGTTGCACAGCCAGAAGTGTGGCTTCTAGATCGAGAGAGGTACGTATTACTACCACTCTATACAACTCTGGTGCGCCCGCAACTGTAGTATTGTGTTCAGTTTTGGGCCCCTCATTACAGGATGGATATAGCCAGGTTAGAGTCAGTGCAGCGTAGGGCCACCAGGTTGGTGGCCGGTTTGCAGGGGATGGGGTATGAGGCAAGACTGAGGGAACAGGGTCCCTTCAGCCTGGAGAAGAGGAGACTCAGAGGGGATCTGTTGGTGACATATAGGTGAGGGGGTGTCACACAGAGATAGGTAGAGACCTGTTCTCCCCTGCAGGGGAGGGCAGAATGGAGCAATGCTCAGGGAACCAAGGTTCAATTTAGATGCCAGGAAGTACTTCCTGACAGGACCCCGAGGGTATGGAATGGGCTTCCATAGGAGGTGGCGGAGGCCCATTGGTGAGGGTGTTCAAACATAGGCTGGACGTGCACATGGTGGGCATGTAGTGAGCGGAGCCGGCTGGAGCCAGGGGTCAGACTAGATGGCCTGGGAGTCCCCTTCTGACTCACTCTGTTCTATGTTTCTATGAGTCGCCTTCCTCCACCCTTCACCATTAGAGTAACTTGAAAGTGCAGTTCTGCTTAAAAGAACTTAGGGTCCAGTTCAGTACAGCACTTCAAATAGTGCTGCAAATAATGCCTTGCCTTACCAAAACAGATATAGCACCTTGAATCTGGCAAATTATATGAATAATCACCAATAATCCCAAGACCCTCATTGTTTCTTCCAGTAGCCTGTTACTCATAACATTTTGAGCCACATCAGGAAGCAATTTCAAGCCTTGCAGCTCCTGCAGTCATTACTGTGCTGGCTCTAAGTTTGGGTTTCAGGAACAATTGCCATAGTATGAGCTATGATATTACAGTACCAGCATCAGAACACCAATGCCTGAGTTTGACAGCCCACCAACTGAGTACTGATGGAAAGACTGCATGCTTAACATAATGTTTAGAATCTAAACCTAAAATAGTGTAGAATCATTAAATCTATGTGACATTTCCCACTGCAAAAAACAGTCTTCAAGCAAGCTACATACACAAATGCAGAA